ATATGGAACTTCATGGATGTATCGTGCTAAGTTACGCGCTGTGACAAAGATTTTTTACATGCATATATATTGGCATTAAAAATCGTGTCCAAGCTGATAAATCGAGGCGACTAAAGCCAAGATGTCATTTGAATTACATTACACATGATCGCACGAAAAGATGAAAATAATAACTTAGATGTAAGTTTGACAACTTTCAGATATATTTTTGTTGGTTTTATACATTATATACTTACTTTTTATAGTAAATTCAAAGATTTTCTTGAAACATATTTATTTTGTCCTTTGACATGTCCGATGTGGACCTGTTGTCAAACTTGAATTGTGTGTCCAAGAATTTTATTTTCAATATCATTGCGGGAAATAGTGAATAATTTTTTAGTTTAGCTATAGAAAATGATAAATTGAAATGGAATACATATCGCATATATTGTGAAATGCCAGAGATCTAATAAATGAATGATATGACCGGTAGGTTCATAAGATTATATATACTGTTTTGACGTGATTACGGATTGGCCGGTCTACCGGGCTGCGGTGTCTGGGGACTCGAGGCTTCTTGGCCGGTGTAGACTTGATTTTTCCGTACTCGTCAAGAGATAAGTGTTTTGAAATATTTCATGGCATTTCTCAAACTTCACTCACAAATGCGACCAAATCACTTGCAACTTCGAGCCCTGCCTAGATTGGAATCATGGTTAGAGAAAACATCAGAATACTTAAACAACATTTCCTTCAACCTTCAGTTGTTAATGTGCCATCCAATCCTCATCCTCTTTTTGGACATCAATTGTGGCTTTCATGATTCACAAAAAGTCAGCACCAAGAATCACAACAAATATCGGGACACACAAATAACTTTATCCATTTATTCTTGGGTCCAATTCAAATATTTATGTAAGTGTAACCACTAATCCTGATTTCCTGTGAATTTGCTGACCATGCATGACTATTAGTCAAGCTTTACTTGAAGTCCTAATGAATGAAGACATTTTTCATTGATCATAGTAATATCAACCATCCCATCCAGTATCCACCTGAATTCCTTTCACATAAACAGAAGCATACAAGACACCTACTTCCACATTTTCAAAATCTACATTTTGTTGGGTCTCACTTTCTGTATCAATGTACTTCCCCTGGCCCCTACCCGTTTAAATTTCCATTCCTGCCCTGCGGTCTTCTACAGTCCCTTTGAACATGGCCAGACTTTCCATTGTTTTAACATTTTCACCGTCCGTATCTCTTCTGGCCCGAGGTTAATGATTTAATTGTGGCAGCCATTCCTGAAAGGACGTGTTGTTGTCCAATCTAACTCATAAGTGTTTCTTGCTACTGAGAAAATTTCTTAATCACATCATCTTTTAAAAATGGTCCTAACGTCTCTGCAGAGATAACAGGGGCTTCTCTTACTGCCTGATCCAAGGTTTTCACTTTTGCATGGCTTACAGCAAGTGTAAGTTCTTTGGTTTGGTTTGTTGTTTAATGCCACACTCAGCAATATTCCAGCTATAGGATGGCGGACTGTAGCCAGACCAGACAATCTAGTGACTGATATCATGAGCATCCTTCCACGTAATTGGGATCGATGACATGCTTCAACCAAGTCAGCAAGTCTGACCACCCGATCCCGTTAGCATGGTTAGTCGACTCTTACGACAAGCATAGTGGCCTTTTACGACAAGCATGGATTGCTGAAGTTCCTTTTGAACTAATCCTTTAATAAACTGATCCATGGCTAGCCAATCAACGTCAATAGCTCTCATATCTGGATAAGCTCTGTGAGCTAATTTTTTATTATCTCTGAACAGAACATCCAAACACTTTCTCCTTTCAACAATTTCTTACCTTGTAGCTCTACCTTGTAATTTTGCCTACGTTCTTCTGGAGAAAAATACAATTTCAAGGCATCAGGTAACAGTGCAAAGTCACTTTAGAGAGATAGAGGGAAAACATTTATTAATTTGGATAGGGTGCATTACCGAACTGCACAAGCCATGGGGTTTTCAATTCATACAATCAAGTCCAGAGAGGCCGGTGAATACTTAAGAAGTCCAAAATAACTTACCCCAATCAGTGCAATGCTCATCTTCCCGAGGCAAGGGAGTTAACTGACTTTAAAAGTCCAGTTTCCACCCTTGCCGAACTAGGCTGGAATTACTGGGCTCGATTTTTACGCCACCAGTGGTTATTACCAATTATGTCCCTTCTTAGCCTCTCCTATGGACCAATCAGATTCCACCTCTCGTATCACTTGCATTCGCTTCGTACAAAATGGTGGCGCCCAGTCAGGACGATCTGATCGATAATAATTCTGATAAAACGGGTCTTACATCGCGAAATGCATCAAATCACGTGAGCACCTTGATTAAAAACATGAAAGGATTTGGAAAATATCTGCTGACAACGAATTGGCGATGCACATGCTTTGCAAATCCTGCAATCGATCGAAATCTGCACGACAGTTTAAGAACCGGATTTTGATTTCGATGCGCGATTTTGATTGGACTATGCATAGACTCGTTAGTCCAGACAAAACTTAACTCCATAATACCAGCCTAGTTCGGCAAGGGTGGAAACTGGACTTTTATAGTCAGTTAACTCCTTTGCCTCGGGAAGATGTGCAATGCTGTGAATCATACAGAGTTGTAATGCAGCAGTGACCAGAGAAGAGAAATATTGGAGTGTTGAAAGCTAAAAACCTGGTCACATGCTACTGAAACAATAGGATAGGCAATCAGTGAATCAATGGTCAAGCTGTTGCTAGACCAGATCACTAAAGAACCATTACCTGATAACAGATACACAAGGCAGATGAACTTGAGGTTGTTGATGTAACCAACGCCCCGCTACTTGTAGGTCTTGAAAACGTGCTCCTAGCCCACAGTTGATGTGTCAACGAAGAGGTGGAGGGTCAGAACAAACAACTTCAAAAACCTTCTGACGCAAACATTTGATGCTGAAGGATCGGTAGGGAGATTGGATGTCTGGGACCTGGAACTTTGGGAAGTTGGCGAGGAGCAGGAATATGTAACCGTACATCGCACTGAAGAAGCAGATGAACCTGTACTAGGAGCAACTGAAACTGCAACCGGCATTGACGACAGTACAGGGACAGTCTATTGTAGACTTCTTGGAGATAAGACCGACCGAGGAGGCGGTCGAATCCAGTATGACTGAAAGTACTTTCCTTACATCCAAAACAGCAGGTTGAACCGAAGTTGACGTTGACTGCAGATTCTCTGGGGCAGACTCGACAGTCGAAATGGGAACTTCATTCATTAAAAAGCTGCCAGGTACACTGAAAATCCCTGGCTGACAGACGAAAGTCATGTCGATAAAGGTTCAAGTCATGAGAGCAGGATAGGTCACAGCGACGCCGACGATCCGAGCAACTTCTGGAGGGGAACGATACCAAGTGAACGACTATTCGGCCTAATCTATATATCTATATAGTAATCATCCTGACATAGCGGATCCTTCAGGTGTCAATCACGAGATGAAGAATGGTGATCCTAGTAAAAAAGTATGACAGTGATTCTGGCTTCGTGCATCCTGCAGAAGCGGTCAAACTCTGATGATCGATGCTGCGCACAGGAGTAGATGACGGGAACATCACACGAAGGAGCAGGGTATGACGCCAACTGGTGGCTGACTATCTGGTAGTGCTGGTAGACTTGGTGATCCCCGCTGTCGAGGCTGGCATGGGCAAGACATCTCTGGGGAAGACCATGCGGACATCTAAGGCTGCTGGTTGCTCAAATGTAGGCGTCGATATGGCCACACTCGAGACTGTGTGGGAGACTCTGTCTCGGTCCATAGAAGATATACGACTGGATTGGTGGTGGGGGACAGACAGCTTGGTCTTGAACTTCTTAGCACCGGAAGGGCCATGCTCAGTATCTTGAAACTTTAATCGCCTACCTCATGCTTATGCATCTGCTTAAATAATAAGCTACAAAATTATCTGTGAAATGGGAACACGGAGGACCTCTCATCTTGTGTGCCGCAGCCGCAACAAACACAACAGTTCACAAGAATGAAAAAGTATGTCTGCTTCTCCACTTTTTTCCTTTTTAGGACATGCTTGGTGATTTCTTGGTTGGTTGCCATTGTCCCTCGATTTACTTAGGTAAATTTGACACATCGTGTAGGTCATCATGCATCATGGATTATAGTGTGTGACCTATTTGTTTGGGTGGTGACCATGGTGATGTGTTCGGGTGAATTGTTTTTTGAAGCTGGAAACTTTGTTCAAGCACATTTCCACATAGAATCAAAGAAGAAAGAATAAATGCATTGAGCATGTTGAGTGAGATAGGATAAGTTTAAAACTTACATTTTTCATAATCAAACCCATAACACATGACATTTATAAGGCTCAGACTTAAAATTCAAAGGACATGTAACTGTTGTGTACTGCAACAATTTCGTATGATATAACATGTTACATTCATTTAGGAACTAGGGATTGGTATTGGAGGTAGGTTTAAAGTGTATCACAATATTATGCGGTGCACAAGGCTGTATTGCAAAAGTATCATGATGTATTGTATAATTCTAAATTTTAAATTTGGAAGCAATCAGAAACATAAATGTATGAATTAAAGTTCATAAAGAAAGCGAAGCAAGGTGCAACATGATTTATACTCATGAATTCAATGAATACACAGCCATCTTGGGGCCCGAGATGCACACTCCGGGGAAGCGAAGGTATTTAGCAAGTGTTTAATGTTGAAAATATGATAAAAAAATCACTATTTGAAATCACCCAATATAACGAGCATGAAATAATTATATTGTGATATGTATCGTGGAGAGAGTAAACCTCAATTTAGATATATGTCGATAATACCAACTTATGCCTACATATCCAGGTGAACCAGTGTTACGGCACTATTTTTCAGAAAATCAAGGTTGGTTGGTATATCATGTTGTGCTTTTACACATACTGGCTTCCTCTCGATATGATACTTCATGTTATGTTTCCTCTCTTCCAGACAAGCAGACACCTTGAAAGTGACTCTGTCAGGTTTGTTTATTATAATATCTCTTGTTTGGGTAGAATAAACAGATTGAGATAACAATATCTCACATTATTTACCAGTATTTTTAGCACACCTAACACAAGCAGTTACTATTTGCCATGCAAAATTTGTTGGTTCAGCTGCAATCAAGGGAATCGATCAAAAAATTTGTGGTTGATTATTATCCCCCGCCATGAAGTGGAAGGGGGATATAGGAATGGGTGCTGTCGTTCCGTCCTTCCAGCTGTTTCGTTTCCGGAGCAGAACTCAAAAACCATGAGAGATATCTAACCAAACCAGGCACATAGATAGGTCTAGTGGTGAACTGGTGCCGTTTCATCATGTTCATAGTTAGGGATTTAAAAAAAAAATCATTTTTCAAGTTTCCATGGAAACGACTTTGACTTAGACTGAAAATGGCGGTAGTGCTCATTTTCAGAGCAGTTCTTGAAAACCGTATAATATTACTTAACCAAACTTGGCACAGTGATAGGTCTAGTGTTAAACTGGTGCCATTTGAAAGTTTGGGATTTTTGAGTATTTTTTTAGTTTCAATAGCAATGACTTTGACTTAGACTGAAAATGGCGGTAGTGCTTGTTTCCGGGGCAGATCTTGAAAACTGTACAATATTTCTTGCCTTGAACACAACCGGACATGGCAGGTTGTGTGAGTATATGGGTGATTCGCTGGTGATTAGGTGCCTCATTCTGGCAGTGTGGGTTCAAATCCTGGACAGGACTCAACCCCCAAAAGTACGAGAATCTGTACTCTGCTAAGGATGTGTTTTCCAAAATATAACATTTGCTTATAAATTTTATTTTGAATAAAATAACAATGTTTCCCCAAATTGCCTGCCAGGGGCACATAGTTTCAAATACTGGAAAGATGCCTGGAATATTATGTCTCTTATGGTATTTAGTTTACTTTCTGCATATTTGTATTTTGGTCAGAATCTGGGAAGACAATTTCTGAGTTGTGGGTGAGTCGACAGCGGCTGGAGGACCTATACAAGAAGCTGCTCTTGCTGGACCTGGAATATGCCTTGGACAAGAAGGTGGAACAGGACCTGTAAGTCATTAGCCATGGCACTCGGGCAAACTTGTGAGCTTCTTCAATGGTTCAGAGTAGGAACTGCCTTTAATCATATCCTGCTTACATATACTCACCGCTAAAAGAAACACGAACCATAGAAACATATGGAGAAATTTGTACATTAAGAAGAGATGTTTCCGATGTGTACCACTAAATGACCAATCTAATATCTCTTGAATATGAGTAATTCTTAATGAATTAACCAACATGTATGGTATTCACGTTTCTTTTGTCGGTGAGTATGTTTTTGGCTGGATATAGAATAACCTTACAATGTCTACTGAAATGTGTTGTGAATAGGATGAAATTTCCAATTTGTTTTTGTTACAATAATTCACTGGGTGTTATGCTATATTTTATATTTCCTGTCTTACAGATTTATTTTCAAAAACATTGTGTAGGCATGGTTTGCTTTCAAAATATATATAATCCTTTTTTTGTCTGACCTGACTGAAAATCAGCTCATGTCTTGGCATATTGTCTGTCATCCATCTGCCATTCTGATTGTTCGACCATCTATAACTTTTACATTTTCAACGTCTCTTCAGAAATACCATGCATATTGAGCTCAAAAATGTGTATGAATGATCCAGCTTTGGTATCTCTAAAAGAAACAGAATTCTAATCTGATTTTGAAAATGTTTGACCATTACTCAGTATTTGTGCAGCAAGTATGTGGTATGTGGAATATGTTTGTTCCACATTTCCAGATGTATTAAAGACACAAATGCCTTCGTCCGTTAATGTTGCACATATGCAAAAAATGAAACATTATGTAATGTTGTGAATCTCTTCCATCAGGTGGAACCATGCCTTTAAGAACCAGATTAATATATTGCAAATACAAGCCAAAGACAAGCAGGTGAGTGCTCCCCTCATTAATATACATTGTTTTGGGGTTAAGGGACCGACCATTTGATATTCTGGAGGGTGGCAGCGATCTTGGATTTTGTATAGAGATTAGTTATTTTTTCAGCTTCAGCTGCAAAACCACAAGTTTTTGTTATTTAAAGCTATGAGCCTGAATTTTTTTCAAGAAAAACATCTTGCAACAACGAAATTTGTATGGCAAGCAATTTGGTTTTTTTCAAAGGTCTGAAGCAGTTTTTTTTGGAAAGATTTTTCAGGGACAATTTTTTTTTTGGGATAAAATCCCAGGCACTCCTGTAATATCAAATGGTCGGTCCCTTAATCATAATGCCGGTATGATTGCAATCTGTTCGCTTGGTATCGCTTACCTTATATACTTTCAATCTCACATGACAAAAAGTATTTTCTTGCTTTGAAAAAGAAACAAGCTTACTCCCAGGGTTACTTAATCCTGACAGCCATCTTTCTCCTCATCAGCTAAAATCATATGATGTCAGTACTGTATCAATCAGGAGTCCGGAAATGGTCACATGCACCGGACATGTCCAATTGGGAATCTCAAATGTCCGGTTTAAGATATTGCTTACCAAACATTTTAATTTTTCTGTCCGGACATGTTAAAAAACAAACGGGGTCCAAAAAATTGCTGAGCGTTATCGTATCCCTCCCGTGAAATCAGGGGAATAAACAGGTATGAACAGTTCTGGTTAAGGACAGCACATCCACTACAGTTGCGACAATTACTGCTACGAACCCTGCCAGCATTTCCTGCCCCTCAGCTGGGTGTTACCTGTCATACCCCGCTCTCCAATGGGATGATGTAGTATTCGTCAAAGAAACCGTCCCATCACAGACCACAGTCTTTCCCAAGAAGCCTCCTCTGACAAGAATCAACATTGCCAAATCGAAGGATCAACATTCCAGCGATTGACATTCCAGGGACCGACATACGAGGGATCGTCATTCAGGGGATCGACATTCGAGAGATCTCAGAAGACTGATAAGATGCAGAACAATAAAAACCAGCAAGAGGATGAATAGTGTACTGATGAAAACTGTCATCGATCTACATCTATGGGCCGTTCGGATGACCATCGACATCAGGGTCAATATCGTTCCTCCGACTATCAACATTCGTCCATGGATCGACATCGACATAATGTTTGTAGGGATCAACATCACAGCTAGGATCGATACCCTACCCCTATGAATCAATACCATCACATGCACTTCTTCCCTTATGCATCGCCTGGCTGTTCCGCATCGTGTGGCCATTATGCAGATTGACATCGATACCCACCACATCCGGACTACAGATGTATGTCTGAATACTATTGCTATATACCAACCCAGGAGTGACATCAGGATTGACATTGATACCAATATCGACATTGATTTCCGCCTCATCCTCGAGCTTCCTCCCCGATCGACAGCCGCCCGGATTGAAAGTCCCGCAGCAGATCGACATTGTCAGACGACAATTGCATCGTGTGAACAGTCAAGTCAGTCCAACTTTTGACCTATGCAACTTGTTGGATGTGATTTGTATGAAAAAGGACCTGCTCTATTTTCATGCCCCAAGTTGTATGAACACAGCCAATTGAAATGCGTATGACTCTGATTCATGTCGGTAACTTCTGCTTTTCGGTATCCTAACTGTCACCACTGAAAAAAGGACCCATGAAAAGTTACCCTGGAACAATTAGATATTTCAACATTTGCATTGGTCTAATTCCCTGGGTAAAACTGTCCATAGTGTTATTTGAAATGACAGGCAATGTGACTGAAAACTGTAGTGTAGACCAAGATGAGATTAGGTCCTTTCTACACATAAAAATATTACAAAAATTACACAAAAATAAATGTCACGGTTTTGGATTCTCTGGAAAAGTATCTTTTATCATGTTTATGTGATGCCATTAACTACTATTTTAGGCAAAAGCATATGTACAAAAAAACACATATGAAAATAGTGTACAACGAAAATATTGCCATTTTCGCATTTTACCAATTCCCCTTTCTAAATGTAATGTTTTATTCAAATAATCTATAGCTACCTGAGAAGTTCAATTACAAAACTATCGGGTGTCGGTTCTTTGTCCAAACCCCAATGATCATTCTGAAAAGACTCCACTATTCCTATATTCGTTTTCGAAACGTAAAGATTCTGAGCCGAACCTCAATGTTGGATAGTGTTGCAAAATCACGATTCTTTTCGCGTCAGGCGAGATGCCTGTCACATCACATGTATTTCACACACAGGTGCGATATGTACATCCCTGAATTCATCATACCATTAACAATCAATTGACAAGTCTCTAATACAAACGGTCCAAATGAAATCAACCGAAATATTAAAGTGTGAAACCAAACCTTTTGCTCTGAAACCTTCCAGTGGGCCTTCTCATTTGAAAATGTAATCAAAGCAAACTTCTAGTTTTAAATGTTAACATTTTCTACTATTCGGAGAGATTCAGTTGCATACATTAGCTCAAATTATTATGAATATGCATGGGTCGATAATCGTTGCAAGAATTGAGGAATAATTAGATACTTACTTGGAAAAGTCAACAGAAATCGTTCCATGTGATGCCATGATTGACGCAAAATCACGCACACTGACGACGGTATTAGTCTATCAAGGATAGAATGGAAACATTAAAACAAATTGAACCAGTTGATTTCAGACTGATTCTGATAACTTAACTTACATGACTTATTTATGAATAAATTCGGTCCCTGCATCAGGGTAAAACCTACGCTAAACATTCCGCGTACTGCTATCAGTGAACTCACTATGTTATGATGAGAGGTTACCGGTAGTGATGTCACATTAGTATACATCATCATCAACATCGTTGTGAATATTTGTTATTGTCTTTGAGGTGCGGGTGAATAAGTACACAACGCATTCATTTCATGAAAAAGATGATGTGATTAGCGATAAAACTATGTATGTTTCTTCAGCGTCCGAAAACCCATAACACCGGAATATATGTTGTATTAATGTGTTGTTGTTGTTTTTTGAACAAAAGGTAGGTAAGTACAAGGTAATTTTTCAATATGCTTCAACATGGGGAAAGGGTCAGACTTTGCACGCTTGTGACAGTTGTCCTTGTGTCTGGGAGATGGGGGGTGACATTTATGACAGTATTGCTCCCAGACCCGGTGGGTAGCCGGGTGCGAGGAAGCTATGCACAATTTTTTAAAAGTACTTCAAAGTTTTACTGCATCCTCCGTCTCTGTTTATTTGACTAACTGACTTTTGCCATTGACTTATTACATGTCTTATGTCCAAGTCATCGACCTGTATACAGCCTTTTTGTTAAAATCACTGATTTATACTGTTATGTTTTTGTGGTACAGCTTTCAACGTTTCTTATAAATTGGGATAAAACCTTAATTATCTGGTTTCAACTGGCCTTAGGACACTTTCAGGATTTTTATGGGTCATTCTTCTATATTATCACAAAATCTGAAATATTTCTTCAGGACATTTTGGATGACAACCAGGATTCCAGTGACAATGTCCTGAATCACAAGCTATTGGTCAGAGATCTCGCAAGATCTGAGTTGTATGCAACACGCCGCTGTGTGAATGCCGAGTTGTAAACAAATTCAGTTTGTACAACTAATTGCATACAACAAGTTGTATACAAGTAGTTGCGCTGTGTGAATACCCCTTTAGTACTATCGATATCCACCACCACAGGAGCGGCATCAAGATCGACATCGATACCAAACTTCTAAGGATCAACATCAATACTCATCACCTACGGATTAACATCAGGATCGACATCAATGTTATGAATGTCTAGATTGGCATCGCCGTCCCTTACATACAGTATTCAACGTAACAAGCGCCCACGGCGATATTTGCATATATATTGGTTTGTGAACAATACCAATTAGCACCCTTTCCGATTGATCAAATCGGATCAAAAACTATTTCCATTTGCGTATCTATCCTCCATATCATGTCATAAAAGCCCTCCCAATGGCTAGCGCTATGGTCATATTGATGTGTGAAGCTTTATTGCTATGCATCTCACTGTTGCACTTGTTGTAATTATGCAAAACAATATGTAAAGCGCCCTGAAAGGTTCATATTAGTCCCATCTGTTCTTATATTTCAGAATAGGTGCGTTTGTTTACAAACAAGACAAAAGTCTGGTCATATGTCTACACCCGGGGTGTGGTGACTGGATCAGAAATGGAATAAGGCGAGCAGAACCGAATAAGCTCGGGGTTGTCGGCTATTGTTTACAAACAAAGCTTCAGACCTGTCAATGCCCTGTCCCTTTATTTATGATGAACACATACAAATAATGCTTGTGTTTTCTTTTGCAGAATGTGAAACGTGGAGAAAATCAGGCCAGTTTGAATCTATTCTTAGAGACTGCCAGTGGATTTTACTTGCAGGTGCGTTAACACTTTATTTAGAATTTCACAATGTGGGTCTGGGTGTCATTGTTTTGGCCTGTTGTTAATTATTTGTCATGCCGTCCCATTTTTCAGCTCAACAGGAGTGGGGACATGGGTGGTCCAGTAATCTAAGGCACTGCAATTCGCTGTGCAGAGTTGCTTCCCTTGGGTACAGTAGAAACGTATGATTGTGGGTTAGAATACTGGTTTGTCCCAATTATGTTTCTAGGTTTGTACCATACCTGTGCTGAGGGTTTCACCAAAGTGGAAACGTCCGAGACTTCCATTGTTTCAGGCTTTCCCGGCACATTGAGCTGTCATGCCATGATATACAGTCAAACACTGTTGTGTCAAACTAGCTTTGATGTGTCAAACTCCCTGTTAACTCGAAGTAGAAGCTTGGTCCCTACATATTTCTTCTTTAGACATCATTATTGGTTGTGTCAAACCTCGGATAACTCAAAGTATTTTCGTAGGTCCCTTCAATGTTGACACAACAGTGTTTGGCTGTAACTGGAATACTGATAAGAGCGGCATTAAACCAGACTCAATCAGGAGTTAATTTGATCTTTCTTTGCATCTGCATTATCATTTATCCTTTCATGGACTTGCCATAACAACCATGCATGAAGGTGATACTGGGTCAGATGCAGTCCGCAGTAAAAAGACAATGAATGAGGATCTAGTAGCAGGGTTAAAAAGAAATTCAGAGCTCTCATACGGACTGGTTTAGTAAAAGTTTTAATAGTCAACCATAAAAGCTTACTAGTTCTGACTAAAATGTCACTTAAGAAAGTTTATTCCATGTCTCATTAAAGTAAACAAATAAAGACAGCAATCTTACAAACAAACAAAACAATAGAATTGGAGATAATTAATTTTGAAATTCAATGGACAAAAAACAAGCGACTTAAATTGATTCATAGCATATATTATCAGGGTTCGAACATATAAGTGCCACTGTGCCGAGGGCACACCTAAAACTGTAATGGCAGGGTGAATTCCTTACCTACGTGCCGCTTTCGTACACTTAATTTATTGATGAAAGTGACTGCAAGTATTTCTGTTGATAATCATGACTCGTAAGTAAAATAATATGAATTTCCTTTCTGGAAAACGATGATCAACACTCTTCCTTGAATTCTTCAAACACGGAGTCCCCAGACACCACAGGCCGGTAGACCGACAAAGCTGTAGTCACGTCAAAATAGTATTTAACTTTATGAACCTACCTGTCATTCATTCATTTATTAAATCTGTAATCATGGTAATGTTTAGCAATGTCTGAAATACATATTTTATTTCAATTTATTATTTTCATTGATAGATTAAAAGATTATTTACTTGAGCTATGGCAGCAGTACCCAGACAGCGGTAGTAGACTGACACTCACCAAACATTTATTTATAGCGAATTAGGTAAACTGCTGATACCCAAACCTAACAGGCAAGCATAATCTGTTTTCCCCATAGGCCATTTAAAGATTTGTCTGCTGGAGATAACTCCCTAAACAAACCGCCCAGGATCACCTTTCAAACATGACTGCTAGGCCCCTACGTTTGCATACATTATCGCTAAGCAACGCTGTTTTCGGTCCTAAATTAGTGTTTTCCAAAAGACTCATATTACATTATCTTTGGTGTATGGTAGGACTTTAAGTAAATGTAATGACATTCCATGATAAAAAATGACTCGAAAATTCTACAAATAGTACTGTTTAAGCGATGTCCGGGTACTGCCTCGATGAAAAAAATTGATAAGGGAGTACTCGGACATGTTTTTTTAAAATTAATCAATTACAGATCTTCACATTTTAACAGATAATACTTTATTTTTGGTTTACATAGTGACATATAAATAAATATAACTTAATGCATGATCTTTATATATAAAATAAGATGGAATCTGTATTTGCGTATATATCCTAAAATAATTATATTTTGATGCCTACATTCCACCTATTCATAAAATAAAGTAGATTTCTTAATAGTCTGTGTCATTATCTATTATTGCATTTTAATTTTACAGATTCTTTAAATATCTTTAGAATCGTTTCTATTTATTTCGATCTACTTTTTACAACATTTAGGAAGTGAGCCAACATGAACGTAAACCTTTGCTTAACCTTGAAATCTAAAAGGCTGTTGAAGCAGTCACCGCTCGCAGAATGCCAGTATGAAAAGCTGCTGTATATCATGTTATTCCTCAAGCTAGACTCTGTGATAAAATAGAACAAAAAGTGCCAATGAAATATCAAAAAGATGAAGAGAATCAACTCGCCCAATGGGTTCAAATTTCAAAGATTAGGTAGGGTCGTGCCAAAATAGACTCATTATAGTGTTGGTTAGGTATATCAAGATGCACATATACACATATATCTATCATTTATAGATAACTGTAGCATTATAAATTTGCATCTTAAATTGATATAAATTACCTAACATGATTATATTGTAGCATATGTATGTTGTGTGCGAGATGTAGCTGAAACACTCCTTATTGTTGTAAATTTAAATACTTGCATATTTTCTCTCTTTTGATAGGTATTTTTTCACATTTTTCACTTGATACCATGTGAACCCGACAACAGGTTTGACAGGAATGCAATGTAAAATCATAATGCCAAAAATAGTGGATACACAGAGATATGATGTAGGTGGAGACTAGTAGTAGTATTGCTGGTGCCATGTCGGTTGTGTAACAAGAGAGTTACTGAGGTTTTTAGCTCAATATATAGGACAACAACATTACCAGTATAACCCTATTTTACACCGAGAGGGTGACTCATGATGCCCAAACTAGAGGCGGTGGTCATAAGCAAGACTATATTGTTTTAAAGTTTTGTCCGAGAGGCATATTGTTGAAGAATGTATTGAACGCCATCAGAATGCGGGGTGCTAGTTCTTCTTTATCAGTGTAGATTATGATTAGCAGCTTATTGTGGGTGACATTTGATCATACATTTTAGAAATCGTTTATATTTATTGTTAGATCAATGAACCAGCTATGTTAAACTAAGCGTCTGAAAAATAACCAGTCATGTATGATACGACATGTTAATTATGATGTGTATGTTTCAATGTCGCAATTCCATTCTAATTAATTAAAAATAATATATAATACATATGAACTGTCCGACTTCTGCCTCTCTGCTGTCCAGGCACAGCTGACTGTGTCTGAGTACTACCGAAGCTGTCCTCAAGCTAACAGTATGAAGGTTCAGTGAGTGAGTGAGTGAGTGAGTGAATATTGCTTAACGCCGCATCAGCAATTTTGCAGCTATTCGAGGCGAATCAAGGTTCAGGCTGAGCAGTTTTCTGTTCAAATCTGATAAGTTTCTGTGATGTATTGCCATGATTGTTATGTGTCCAGGTACTGCCTCCCCCACTCTTGATCTATTTCCCGCCGTGTTATTGAAAATAAACTTCTCTGACACACACTTTGACAATGGGTCAACATCGAACAAGTCAGAGCAAAATAAAAACCTGTCAATCAAATCTTTAAATAGATACAAAGTAATAAATAAAATCAACAAAAATATACTCACACGCAAAAGAAACACAAGTCGAGTATGCAGGATACATGTTATTTATTTTCAACAGTAAAGACAAGAAATACTAATAGGGCAAGATTGAAAAATTTTTTGACCGAAGACGGTTTAATGGATTAAAAGGCAGATGACATAATTGTTTTTTTCAAATGTTAAGGGCTTACACAGTTTCGGGTCAATACCCAAAATATCAGTCAATACCTGGTGTGACCACCATTAGCATTGATCACTGCCACACATCTCCTGTACATTGAGTAGATCAGACGATTTGTAAAGGCCCTAGGGATCCTCCTGCACACATCCAGAGCAGCTGTGCATAGTTCATCGGCAGTTGTAGGGACTGGCCGCACATTGTGCAGACGCCTTTGAACCTCATCCCACAAGTGTTTGATGGGGTTCAGATCAGGGCTGAGGGCTGGCCACGGTAGAACACGAATGTTGTGTTTTTGCAGAAAGGCCATGGTAGCTCTGGCAACATGGGGACGAGCGTTGTCCTGCTGGAAAATGTGTTGTTGATGTTGTGCAAAAAATGGAACAACGTGGGGTCTGATCACTTGGTCTATATGTTAATTACCTTTATGGCCCTTTCCACTGTTGGCCCTGGTTAGCCCTTCTCTCACTCAACACACCACTGACAGTTCATGTCAAATCCCCGCCATCTGTAAACACGCTGCTTCCTGTCTACTTTTTCCCATCTCTGCCCCAGCTTCCGCTCACGCATGCGCACACATAGTCAAGTTCAGAGGTCACTTCCAGTACACTCGAATGTAAATATACCACACAATGTGGTTAGGACTGACATGTTATCAATCTCCCACTTCTTTAAAGTTTGTCTTCAAATGTGATATGGCTGGAGTGACAAACTTTGCTGGCTGTGTCAAAATTTCATTTGTTAATATGTAAAGCCTTCCCTCAGACTTTCTCAGTAAAAGTAAAAGAAACATTTCTTAAAACCAGTCTCTGTACAGTATATCCCAAGAACGGTTTCCAGTCTCTGTACAGTATATCCCAAGAACAGTTTCCAGTCTCTGTACAGTCTCTGTACAGTATATCTCAAGAACAGTTTCTTCACATATAACCTCAAATATTTTTGATTTGTATAAAATAGTTTTATGTAAAAGAAGGATGCAGACTGTTCCAACAAACATATTTTGTTTTTTCTTCTTTAAGATCTTCATAAAAACAGGTTAAAAGATGATGCAGTTTATAATAATATCTTCACAGAGTTCCTTCTTCAAGGACCCGTAGTAACTTCATAGGTGAAGCGCCCTCTTTGGTCAGACAGTCTGCCAACTGGTTATTTGTGTCCACCCATGTCACATCTCCTATCTGTCCAGATTCCACTAACTCCTTGATCCCACTTATTTCCATTCTCAGTCTTTTTTCTTTAACAGGTTTAGTGGATTTTAGATCATCATACAGTGATTTAGAGTCAGTGATACAGGTC